TGGGACATTGAGGATATTGGGAGTATTGGGGATATTTGGGACATTGGGGACATTGGGGACGTTGGGGACATTGCGGATATTGGGAGCACTGGGGACATTGGGGACATTGGGAAATTTGGGAAATTTGGGATATTGGGGATATTGAGAGCATTGGGGACATTTGAGATATTGGGGGCGTTGTGGACATTGGGGATATTTGGGACATTGGGGACATTTCAGGTATTGGGACATTGGGGACAATGGGAACATTCATGGGATATCAGGGACACTGGGGGCATTGGGAGCACTGGGGACACTGGGGACATTTGTGGCTATTTGGGACATTGGGACACTGGGGGCATTGGGAGCACTGGGGACACTGGGGACATTTGGGGACATTTGGGGCCACTGCTGTCCCCTGGCAGGCCGCCTGATCTTCGACAACCTGAAGAAGTCGATCGCCTACACGCTGACCAGCAACATCCCCGAGATCACCCCGTTCCTGCTCTTCATCATCGCCAACATCCCGCTGCCCCTGGGCACCGTCACCATCCTCTGCATCGACCTGGGCACCGACATGGTGAGGGGACCCCAAATCTGCCAAAATCTGCCAAAATCCACCCCAAATCCACCGCAAATCCATCAAATCCCAAATCCACCCCAAACCCATCATTGCCAACATCCCGCTGCCCCTGGGCACCGTCACCATCCTCTGCATCGACCTGGGCACCGACATGGTGAGGGGACCCCAAATCCACCAAATGCACCCTAAATCCATCCCAAACCATCCCAAATCCACCCCAAATCCACCCCAAATCCACCCCACCCATCATCGTCAACATCCCGCTGCCCCTGGGCACCGTCACCATCCTCTGCATCGACCTGGGCACCGACATGGTGAGGGGACCCCAAATCCACCAAATGCACCCTAAATCCATCCCAAACCATCCCAAATCCACCCCAACCCCATCATTGCCAACATCCCGCTGCCCCTGGGCACCGTCCCCATCCTCTGCATCGACCTGGGCACCGACATGGTGAGGGGACTCCAAATCCTCGTGGGGACCCCAGATTCTCCTGGGGACCCCAAATCCAAACAGGGACCCCAAATCCAAAGAGGGACCCCAAATCCTCCTGGGACACCCCAAATCCACCCCAGAGACCCCAAACCCCATGACGTGTGACAGTGGGTGACAGCGGGTGACCCTGGGTGACTTTGGATGACACAGGTGACATTGCGTGACACCAGGTGACACCGGGTGACACCGGGTGACACCGCTGTCCCCTCAGGTCCCCGCCATCTCCTTGGCCTACGAGGCGGCCGAGAGCGACATCATGAAACGGCAACCGCGGAACCCGCGGAGCGACAAACTGGTCAACGAGCGGCTCATCAGCATGGCCTACGGCCAGATCGGTCAGTGGTCACTCATGGTCACTCTGGGGTCACTCTGGGGTCATTAGTGGTCATTCATGGTCATTGATGGTCAGTCAGGGGTCATTAGTGGTCATTAGTGGTCATTCATGGTCATTGATGGTCAGTAATGGTCATTCATGGTCATTCATTGGGTCACTCAGGGGTCACTCAGGGTCACTCAGGGGTCACTCAGGGCCATCAGGATGGCTTACAGCCAGATTGGTCAGTGAAGGGTCCAAGATGATTCCAAATCCTGCGTCTCTGATCTCAATCCCCATCCCCATCCCATGGTTTTGAGCCCAATCCAAATCCCTCAGGAATGACCCAGGCTCTGGGTGGGTTCTTCACCTACTTCGTGATCCAATCCCATGTTTTTTATCCCAATCCCATGGCTCTGATCCCCATCCCGATCCCTCAGGGATGATCCAGGCTCTGGGCGGGTTCTTCACCTACTTCGTGATCCTGGCGGAGAACGGCTTCCTGCCGGGGACGCTGCTCGGGATCCGCCTGGCCTGGGACGACCGCTCCAAGAACGACCTGGAGGATTCCTACGGACAGGAGTGGGTGAGGGACCCTAAAACCGACCCTACACACCCCTTACACACCCGTTACACACCCGTTACACACCCGTTACACACCAGTTACACACCCGTTACACACCCGTTACACACCCGTTACACACCAGTTACACACCAGTTACACTCTGCTCCAAGAACAACCTGGAGGATTCCTACGGACAGGAGTGGGTGAGGCACCCTACACTGACCCTACACACTGGTTCCACACCAGTTCCACACCAGTTCCACACCATTTCCACACCTACTTCCATCCCATTTCCACACCCATTTCTGCCCAATTTCGGTTTCCCCCATTACTCACTCTGGTTTCCTCCCAGTTTCCCCGTTGTTCACTCCAGTTTCCTCCCCGGTTTCCCCGTTGTTCACTCCCAGTTTCCTCCCGGTTTCCCCGTTGTTCACTCCCAGTTTCCCCCATTATTCACTCCCAGTTTCCTCCCGGTTTCCCAGTTTCCTCCCCGGTTTCCCCATTGCTCACCCCGGTTTCCCCCGGTTTCCCCGTTGCTCACCCCGGTTTCCCCCCGGTTTCCCCGTTGCTCACCCCGGTTTCCCCCCGGTTTCCCCGTTGCTCACCCCGGTTTCCCCCCGGTTTCCCCGTTGCTCACCCCGGTTTCCCCCCGGTTCCCCGTTTCTCACCGTTGCCGCTCCCCAGACGTACGAGCAGCGCAAGGTGGTGGAGTTCACGTGCCACACGGCGTTCTTCGCCAGCATCGTCGTGGTGCAGTGGGCGGATCTCATCATCTGCAAGACGCGCCGCAACTCCGTCTTCCAGCAGGGCATGAAGTGCGACAAAACTCCCCAAAACCACCCCAGAACCACCCCAAAATCCCAGCCAAAATCACCCCAAAATCCCACTTAAAACCTGCCAAAATTCCCCCAAAATCCACCCAACTCTGTCTTCCAGCAGGGCATGAAGTACGACAAAACACACCAAAAACACCCCAAAATCCCACCCAGAACCACCCAAAAATACTCCAAAATCCCACCCCAAACCACTCCAAAATCCCACTTAAAACCAGCCCAAATTCCCCCAAAATCCAACTCAACTCCGTCTTCCAGCAGGGCATGAAGTGAGAAAAAACACCCCAAAAACATCCTAAAACCACCCCAACAACACCCCAACATCTCACCCAAAACCACCCCAAAAATAGTCCAAAATCCCACCCAAAATCACCTCAAAATCCCACCCAAAACCACCCCAAAATCCCACTTAAAACCATCCAAACTTCCCCCAAAATCCACCTCAACTCTCTCTTCCAGCAGGGCATGAACTGGGGACCAAAACACCCCAAAAATGCCCCAAAACCACCCCAAAATCCCACCCAGAACAACCCCAAACCCACCCCAAAACCCTAAAACCTCTCCCACCCCCCCAAAAACCCCAAACCCCCCCCAAAAAATCCCCAAACCCCCCAAAACAATCCCAAAAAACCCCAATTCCTATCCAAAACCTCACCAAACCCACCCCAAAAAATCCCCAAACCTCTCCAACCCTAAAAAAACCCCAAAACACCCCCAAAAAAAACCCAAATCCCCCCAATTTTTTAGGAACAAGATCCTGATTTTCGGGCTGCTGGAGGAGACGGCGCTGGCGGCGTTCCTGTCCTACTGCCCGGGCATGGGGGTGGCACTGCGCATGTACCCCCTCAAGTGAGGGTCCCCCCAAATCCTGACCCCCAAAAATCCCCAATTCCCTTCCAAACCCCCTCCAAAAAATCCCCCCAAACTGCTTCAAAACCCTAAAAAAATCCCAAATCACCAAAAATCCCCAATTCCCCTAAAAAGCCCCCAAAAATCCACTCCAAAATCCCATCCCTCTTTCAGATCCCGCCCCCAAAAAAATCCCAAAACTTCTCCAAATGGCAAAAAAAAACCCAAATCCCCCCAAAATCCCCAATTCCCCTTCCAAACCCCCTGAAAAAAAAATACCAAAACCTCTCCAAACCCTCCAAAAAAAAACCCAAATCCATCAGAAATCCCCAATTCCCCTTGAAACCCCATCCAAAAAATCCCAAAACAAACCCAAAAATCCCCAAAAAATCCCCAATTCCCCTTGAAACCCACTCCAAAAAATCCCAAAACCTCTTCAACCACCCCCAAAAAATCCCAAATCCCCAAAAAATCCCCAATTCCCCTACAAAGCCCCCAAAAATCCACTCCAAAATCCCATCCCTCTTCCAGATCCCCCCAAAAAATCCCAAAACCTCTCCAAACCCTCAAAAAAAAGGGATTTGGGGATTTGGAATTTGGGGTTTGGGTTTTGGGAATTTGAGGATTTTGGGCTTTGAGGATTTGGGGATTTGGAGATTCAGGGGTTTGGGGATTTGGGGATTTTGGATTTGGGATTTGGGGATTTGGGGTCCCCCTGACGCCCCCTCCCCTTTTTTGCAGGCTGGGTGGAGAAGGAAACCTATTACTGATCCCCTCCCCCTCTTTTGGGACCCCCCGAGCCCCTCCCGCACCCCAAAACTAACCCGGGGGGGGTCGGGACCCCCCGAATTTGGGGGGGCACCCGGACCCCCCCCTGCAGAGCAATAAACCAGTTTAACCCCGCGTGTACTGGGATGGACTGGGAGGGGAGGGGGGACCCCCAGACCCCTTAAATCCCCCCAAATCCCCCCAAATTCCCCCCAAATTTCCCATATTTCTCCCAAATTTTCCCCAAATTCCCACAATTTCCCCCTGTGGCCCTGCCGGTGGCTCCTGGCGCTGCTGGCCCTGGTCCCGGGGGTCCTCCCGGGGGTCCCGGGCTGTCCCGGGGGGGCTCTGTCGCTGCCGCCCCCGGACGGGCGGAGCCGCCTCCTCCCGGTGCCCCTCGGGACCCTCCCCGAGCTGCGCCGCCGCTTCCCGGTGCTGGCGCTGCTGCGGAGCCCCGGGCACCGGGAGCACCGGCCAGAGGAGCTGCGGGCGCTCGAGGTGGGCACCGGGGGCACCGGGAGGGACTGGGGGCACCGGGGGGGACACCGCGGGTGGCACTGAGGGGACACGAGGGGACCCTGAGATGTTCCCGGTGCCGCTCCGGTGGCGCCCCGATGACACCGGGGGGAGCTGCGGGAGCTCGAGGCCGGCACCGGGGGCACCGGGGGCACCGGGGGCACTGGGAGCGACACCGGGGGTGGCACTGGGGTGACACGAGGTGACCTCGCGGCGTTCCCGGTGCTGGCGCTGCTGCTCCGGTGCCCCGGGGACAGCGGGAGGGGCTGGGGGGCACTGGGGGACACTGGAGGGTGCTGAGGGGACATTGGGGACACCGGGTGGCACTCCAGGGACACTGGGGGCACTGGGAGGGACTGGGGGGACACGGGGGTGGTGACAAGACCCAGTGCAGGACCCTGGGGGACTCTAGGGCCTTCTCGGCCGCCGCCCGCCGCCTCCACCCCTCCCTCCTCTTCTTCGCCACCTTCGACCCCGAGGTGAGGCCGGGGGGTGCCGGGGGGGGGCTGGGTGAGCCCCGGGACCCCCCGGGACCCCCCGGGACCTCCCAAATCCCGACTGCCCCCCGTTGCAGGCGGCGCGGGCGCTGGGGCTGCGCCCCGGGCGGGTTTTGCTCTTCGAGCCCTTCCTGGAGCGGCCCCGGCGCTTCCGGGGGGACCCCCGGGACACCCCCCAGATGGAGGCCTTCCTGCAGCGCGGCCGGCGGTGGGCACCGCGACCCCTCCCCGAATTGGGGGCACCAAGACCCCTCCCCAGATCGGGGGGCACCGCGACCCCTCCCCGAATTGGGGGCACCGGGACCCCTCCCCGAATTGGGGGCACCGGGACCCCTCCCCACGGGACCCCTTCCCAGATCGGGGGGCACCAAGACCCCTCCCCGAATTGGGGGCACCGGGACCCCTCCCCAAATTGGGGGCACCGGGACCCCTCCTCAAATTGGGGGGCACCACGACCCCTCCCCGAATTGGGGGGCACCGGGACCCCTCCCCAAAATCGAGGGGCACCGCGACCCCTCCCCAAAATCAAAGGGCACTGGGACCCCTCCCCAAATTGGGGGGTTTGGGGCCCCCTCCCCAAATCATGAGGCACTGGCACCCCCCCCAAAAATCGGGGAGAACCGGGACCCCCCCAAATTGACGGTGTATAGGGACCTCCCAAACCAGGGGGCACGGGGACCCCTCCCCAAAGCGGGGGGTCCCGGGGAGGGGGGAGCGGGGAAAGAGGCAGGGGGCGGTTGCCATGGGAACGGGATGCTGAGGGGAGGGGCTGCCGTGGGGATGGTCACCATGGGGACGCGGTTGCCATGGGGACGTGGTTACCATGGGAGAAGGTAACTATGGGGTGGTGGTTGCTGTGGGGTTGTGGTTACTATGGGATGCGGTTGCCATAGGAACAGGTTGCCATGGCGAGATGAGCGCCAAGGGGATGTGGTTGCCATGGGCGCAGGTTGCCATGGGCACAGGTTGCCATGAGTGATGGTTGTCATGGGTGATGGTTGCCATGGGGATGTGGTTGCCCTGGGTGATGGTTGCCATGGGGAGCGGTTGCTGTGGGGATGTGTTTACTATGGGATGTGGTTGCCAAGGGGATGTGGTTGCCATGGGCACAGGTTGCCATGGGTGATGGTTGCCATGGGGAGCGGTTGCTGTGGGGATGTGTTTACTATGGGATGTGGTTGCCAAGGGGATGTGGTTGCCATGGGCACAGGTTGCCATGGGTGATGGTTGCCATGAGTGATGGTTGCCATGGGGATGTGGTTGCCCTGGGTGATGGTTGCCATGGGGATCCGGTTGCCATGGCAACGGCCGATTCTCACCCTCCCTCACCCCCTTTTCCCTCGGCAGCCCCGGGGGTGCCCCCGCCGGTTTTGGGGGGCGCTGCCGTGCCC